CCTGCAAGAGGAAGGCATTGATGCTATGGACCGCCCGTTCCCCAGACCTGAATCCAATTGAGCACATCTGGGACATCATGTCTCGCTCCATCCACCAACGCCACGTTGCACCACAGACTGTCCAGGAGTTGGCGGATGCTTTAGTCCAGGTCTGGGAGGAGATCCCTCAGGAGACCATCCGCCACCTCATCAGGAGCATGCCCAGGCGTTGTAGGGAGGTCATACAGGCACGTGGAGGCCACACACACTACTGAGCCTCATTTTGACTTGTTTTAAGGACATTACATCAAAATTGGATCAGCCTATAGTGTGGTGTTCCACTGAATTTTGAGTGTGACTCCAAATCCAGACCTCCATGGGTTGATAAATTAGATTTCTATTGATAATTTTTGTGTGATTTTGTTGTCAGCACATTCAACTATGTAAAGAAAAAAGTATTTAATAAGATTATTTCATTCATTCAGATCTGGGATGTGTTGTTTAAGTGTTCCCTTTATTTTTTTGAGCAGTGTATATATCCATTTTAAAAAAATGGTTTCTCTAAATAAGTGTTGTCTTACAATTAAAGGTAAAATACACTATTTCAAACAGTCAGCAATAATCTAATGAATTCAGGGCTTGTGAAGTTATACCTAGTCTAAATATAAGCCTTCCACAACCGTAAGACACACTTATAATTTAATTATTTTATCAAAATACACCGAACTAAAGTATAAACACAACATGTAAAGTGTTGGTCCCATGTTTCATGAGCTGAAATAAAAAATCCCAGGAATCTTACATACACACAAAAAGCTTATTTCTCTCAAATGTTGTGCTCAAATTTGTTTATATCCATGTTAGTGAGCATTTCTCCTTTGCCAAGATAACCCATCCACCTGACAGGTGTGGTATATCAATAAGCTGATTAAACAGCGTGATCATTACACAGGTGCACCTTGTGCTGGGGACAATAAAATGCCTCTTTTAAAATATGCATTTTGTTCTCAACACAATGCCACAGATGTCTCAAGTTTTGAGGGAGCGTGCAGTTGGTATACTGACTGCAGGAATGTCCACCAGAGCTCTTGCCAGATAATTGAATGTTAAACTGCCTCCAACGTCGTTTTAAAGAATTTGGCAGTATGTCCAACGGCCTCACAACCGCAGACCACGTGTAACCACGCCAGCCCAGGACCTCCCCAGACCACGTGTAACCACGCCAGCCCAGGACCTCCCCAGACCACGTGTAACCACGCCAGCCCAGGACCTCCACATCCGGCTTCTACACCTGAGGGATCGTCTGAGGGGGGAGGGTGGGGGTGCTGAGGAGTATTTCTGTCTGTAATAGCTCTTTTGAGGGGAAAAACTCATTCTGATTGGCTGGGCCTGGCTTCCCAGTGGGTGTGCCTATGCCCTCCCAGGAACACCTGCCAAGTCATGTGAAATCCATAGATTAGGGCCTAATGAATTTATTTCAATTTACTGATTTCCTCATATGAACTGTAACCTGTAATCATGCATTCATTTGGTAATACACTGATCTGTG